GCTTCCCTTCTCCCTCCTCCTCTCTCGGGTTCCTTCCTCCTCCCTCCCGATTATTATCCTCCTCATCCTCGTCCTCCTCGTCCTCGTCCTCGTCCTCCTCCTCCTCCTCCTGGTTCTCCTCTCCCCAACTGCATCATCCCGGAACCCAAGCCCTGGAACCCGAAACCCGGAATCCAGATTGGGAGATCGAATATGGAAATCGCTCCTGAAACCCGAACCTGGAATCCGGAATGCTGCTGAAAGTCGGCGCGGCGATGGACCTGAGCCTGCAAGGCAGCCCAAGCCGTCAGCCGGGAACCAGAATCCGGAATGCTGCTGAGAGCCAGCGCTGCGATGGAGCTGAAGTGGCCAGCTCGCCGAATCCGGAGCCCGAACCCGGAATCCGGATATTTGGATTGGAAAAACCAATCTGGAACCCGGAACCCGGAATCCGGATATCTGGATTAGGAAATCTAAGGCAGAACCTGGAACCTGGAACCCGTAAAGAAACGGCAAACTAAAAAATAAAAAGGAAAACAAAATAAAAGAATAAACAGGACAGGGAAAAAAGAAAGAAAAAAAGGAAAAACAAAAAAACAAAACAAAAAGAAAAGTAAAAAAAATAAAACAGGGGTAAAAAAACAAAGAAAGGTAAAAAAACCAAAAAGAAAAAGAAATAGAAGCAAAACATACCACAATAAACAAGAAAAAAAAAAACTAAAAAGCAATAAAAAAAACACCCTGCCGACAGGAAAAAAACACGAATACCAACTGATCCAGAGCAACCAAAAAAGAACAAGGGGACGCAAACAATAAAACAAGAGATAAAAAACAAGGAACCAAACAAAAGGACAACAAACGAAAAAAACGAAGAAACTAAGACTAGAACAAAAAACAGAAAAAAAAAAAGAAAAGTAAAACACAAAAAAAAGTAAACCACGGATAACGCGGAAAAAGACAAGTTAAAAGAAACGCGAAATCAAAAAAAAACAAAAACAATGAGAAAAACGTAAACAAAGCTAAGATAAAATAAACAAAGGAAAATGAATAAAGCAGGACAAAGCGCGAAAACAGAAACACAAAACAAAACAAGAATAAAAAAGAAAAAAAAAAACAAACAGCCGGAATCCGGATATCTGGATTTGGGAAGTTCAACCCGGAACCTGGAACCTGGAACCAAAAACCCGGAATCCGGATATCTGGATTGGGAAATCCAATCCGGAACCCGAAACCCGGAACCCAGAACCCGGAATCCGGAATCCGGATATCTGGATTTGGGAGGTCCAACCCGGAACCTGGAATCCGGAACCCAGAATCCGGAATCCAAATATCCGGATTTGGGAGGTCCAACCCGGAACCTGGAACCCGGAACCCGGAATCCGGATATCTGGATTGGGAGGTCCAATCCGGAACCCGAAACCCGGAACCCGGAACCCGGAATCCGGAATCCGGATATCTGGATTTGGGAGGTCCAATCCGGAACCTGGAACCCGGAACCCGGAATCCGGATATCTGCATTGAGAGGTGCATTGGGAGGTCCAATCCAGAACCTGGAACCCAGAAACCGGAAACCGGCATCCGGATATCTGCATTTGGAGGTCGAATCCAGAACCGGAACCCAGAACCCGGAAGCTGGAATCCGGATAACTGAATTCCGAATTCCGATTTCCGAACTCGGACTTCCGAATTGGACCTCTTCATCTCCACCCTCCGGATCGCCACTCGAGCTCGGTGCTTTCGAAGCTCTAGAGGTATATGCTAATCAATCACATCCGCGGTCATAGCCTGTGTAGCTGCTCTTGAATCTCGCGATCTAATCGAAAAAACAAACGTGCGCCCAGAAGTTGCAGAGGTTCGAAGAGTGTTTCGGTCATAGCTCGGGTAGCAGACCGATCTTAGACTTCAGGATCCTCTGACTGATGCTTCTGATGCTGCTGCAGCTATTGCTGCACATGGACCCGCTGTAGCTGCTCTCAAGCTCGAGATCAACTCGAAACTCTTTATGGGGCCACGAAGCGCGTAAAAGGTGTGCCGAAACTGGGCGGAGACGCATGCGGGCGCAACCACTGGAACCTTCGGTGGCGCCCCATGCGGGGCCATGGAACGAGTGAGGGTTGCGCCGAAAAGGAGCGGGGCCGCCATGCGAACGCCGCCACTGGGGCCTTCGGTGGAGCTCTCTATGGGGCCACGAAGCGCTGTACTGAGTGGGGGAGCCGCATGAGAACTGCGCCACTGGAACCTTCGGTGGAGCTCCCCATGGGGCCACGAAGCGCTGTACTGGGTGAGGGAGACGCATGCAAGCTGCGCCACTGGAACCGTCGGTGGAGCCCCCTTCCGGGGCCACGAAACGCTGTACTGAGTGGGGGACATAGATACGAACTAACCCACTGGGACCTTCGGTGGATCTCACTATGAGGTCACGAAACGCTGTACTGGGTGGTGGAGACGCATGCGAACTGCGCCACTGGGACCTTCGGTGGAGCTGTACTACGTGAGGGCGCATGCTAACTGCGTCACTGGGACCCTCGGCGGAGCTCCCTGGGGGGGGGGCGCATGCGAACTGCGCCACTGGGACCTTCGGTGGAGCTCCCCGTGGGGCCACGAAATGTTGTACTGGGTGGGGGAGACGCATGCGAACTGCGCTACTGGGACCTTCGGTGGAGCTTCCTATGGAGCTACGAAGCGATGGCGGTGACGCGTGTGATAGAGATGATGATAAAGATGTTTGCTGATGATGATGAATGGATGCTGGATGATGCTGCTGATGATATGTTGATGCTGATTGATTGATAGGTGGTTGATGTTGGTGTGAGAATGATGATGCTACTGCTGAGGATTGTTGATGATGAATGATGATTAATGATGATGAATGAATGATAATTTCCTACCTAGGCTCTGCCTAGAAGGCTTCTTACTCTCTGGGCTTAAAGGGGCCGGGCAGTGGAAAGCGCCCCCGGCGGTTCCCCCAGTATCCGCCCCGCGGTTCCCCCAGTTACGTCCCCTTAGCTTAGCGTTGCTTATCTCATCTTAACTTAGCTTATTTCATCTTAGTTAGCTTCATCTTAGCTCAGGTTTATCTTAGCTTAGCTTACCTTAATATTAGCTTCGCTGAGCTTTATCATAGCAGAGCACAGCACAGCATAGCATCGCGTAGCATAGCATGGCGCAGCACAGCATATCATAGCATAGCCCAGCAATACGATGACAATAATTACCATGATAGAACATCGCGCAACACCTCAGCGCAGCCCAGCCAGCACAGCAACAAGCGCAGCACTGGGGTAATTGGCTTAACGGCCAGGCAGTGTTCCCTCCAAATCCGCCGACCCTGTCGGCGTGTGGAAGACGCAACCCGGGTCGTCGTACATTGCGTTGATCACCGTCTCGTACGTCGTCCGTCGTCGTCGTCGTCGTCGTCGTCGTCGTTCGTCCGTCGTCCTCCGGTGTGTCCTTCGTCGTCTCCGTCTCCGTTGCCCCTCGTCGTCTTCGTCGTTCCCCGTCTCCTTGAGCGCGCGAGCCAAAGCGACATTGAGCAACGTCGTAGTTGAGTCGTGGCGAAGCCCCTCCCTACCCTCCCCGCCGGGGGAGGGGGGGGGCGGGGGGGGGGGGGTCGCCGGGGGGGGTTCCCGGGGGGGGTCGCCACCCAAATGCGCATCCTCCCCGGGGGGTCCCGGAGCTCAGAAAAGCTTCAAGACGAGCCAAGAGCGACAGAAGACATCCCCGAAAGGGCACAAGAGGGCCTCGACTCGACGAACGATGGCCCAAGACGGTCCAAACGGCCGCGAAGACGGCCCCAGAGGCCCTCGAAGACGCTCCAAGGTGAGCCCCCAGAAGCACACCCAAGAGGGCCCCATGCGCCAAAATTGTCAATTTTACATATAGTTATTTCAGGTTTTTGGGGGGGGGGGGGAAATTGATTTGGACGTCCCGAGATCTTTTCAAGGCGGGGACACAGATGAACGAACGGCTGCGCGTCCTTGCGCTCAGCTGTGAGGCACCGTCAACCACAGAGAAGAATGAGACAGAGCATGTGTGTGCACGCATGCTCGAGAGGGTTCGGGGGGGGCGGGGGGCCAGAGAAGCTATGCGATGCAAGAAGGAGCGGAGCCAAAGGGGCGACATAATGAAAACCCCTCTTGACTTCCTTCACGTGCAAGCACAAACCAGGACGTCCCGAGATCTTTTCAAGGCGGGGACACAGATGAACGAACGGCTGCGCGTCCTTGCGCTCAGCTGTGAGGCACCGTCAACCCAAGCCGTTCCCAAGAATGTTTACTGGGTGGGTGGGCAAGGGTGATTATATAACGACGCGCGCCATTCACTCAAAAGGACTTTAGCGAGTTTCCTATTGAGGGCTGGCGGATAGGCGGCAGCGATAGCGGTCCATTTCGCACCATTCGGGGCGTTGCCCTCCAGCACGATGTGTGGACGGCCAGACTTGTTACAAATACCATTGATCTGACCACACCGACGATCGAGGCAGCAACTATCCTGAACATCTATGTTCAGACACAAAAATATTGTTCGTTTGCGGCAGCGAGCCCCCTCCTGACACTGATCGAAACATCTTACAACAGCCCCCCGTTCTATAACCCCCAGAACCTCTCTCGTGGCAAAAACGCGTGAATTCACAGGATGCTCAAGTATGCAGGGGACTTTGAAATTCTCGCAACATCTGATGACGCTCAGCGCGGCCCGCATGGTCTTATTGCCTGATGCCAGGCGAGCCAGCTGTTTTGTACTCAGAAGATGCCGCGGAAGTCCCCAGGGCTGCGATGCCGAGCGGATGGCTCCCACTCGGTCGGCAGCGGTGGTCCAGGGCCCACAAGGCGGCGCTAGCATCACGGCCAAGACGCGGCCTGCGGCGATGTCGGAGCACAAGCCCCGCAGGACCTTCCGTCGGGTGAGGTCGCCGCCCGGCCCGTGCAGCGTGTCCCAGAACCTGGCTGGCACGCCCATGGCCATTGCGGACCGACCCACGCCTCCTTTGCCACTGAAGCAGTCGGCCACATATTGGCCAGTCAGACGCGGCCGAGCTCCCGCAAGTCGAGCGGCGAGGCGCGATCCGAAATGATGTCCGCGAGCTGAACCCCGCAGACCAGGAACACGTTTTGCACCGTGCGGCTCCGAGTTGACCACGTCGCTGCCAGGCGCGCGTGCTTCTCGTAGCGGACGACGCTGCGCTTGGCTCTCCACTGCCAGCGTGTCTGCACCTCGGCCAGCCGCCCCCACCTCCTCGCCATGCACACCAAGGCCCTTGAAAGGCAAACCTGATACGGCACCAACTCGGCTCTTGCTGGCAGGTCTTGGAGACGTAGGCTGAACCTCCTGCGGTACCCTGGGCACGTGAAGTTCCACGGGTACTCGGGGTGCTTCTCCTTCTTCATCTGACACAGCACAGGGCCCAAGAAGCGCGTCCAGGGCGAGTCTGACTCTAGCGACACCTTCACCAGGCCCGCTCTCTCCCACGGGCCTTCCTCCTCCGGGGAGAGCCTCAGGGTCCAGAAACTCCAGCCCGGGGGGAGGCGCCAGGCACCGTAGCTCGACCCGTCGGGGTTGAAGTGCAGGACGCCGACCATCAGCCTCTCGGCCCAGGAGGGGTGAGTCCCAGTCTGGTGCAGTCCGGTCAGCTGGCTCACCAACGCCGAGGTCACCATGGCATCGACCCTGCTCTCCATGACCTCGCCAATGGTCGCAACCCTCTGGTACTCGCGCAGCGACGGAATCCACGCGGCCTCCCTCTCCAGGTAAGGGGGCCCGTAGTGGCGGGCAAGGCGCTCGTGCGACTGCGCGAGCCTGGGCTGCCGCGCGGCGTCGGTCTCGACCTCGGGCTCGGAGCTCCCGCTGTCGGAGGAGCCGTCGCTCTCTCGCACTCCCTGAGCGGGCTCCGCTGGCACAGGCATCTCCTTCAGGTCCTCCGCCATCTGCCCCAAGCTCCGCGGCAGGGGACGGCCCTGCACCGCTGTCTTCAGGAGCTCCGACTCGCACAGCTGGTGCTCCCGCCGAGCTGCCGGCGACGGCAGCGGCGCCACTGGCGGCAAAGGGGCAAGCTGCCACGGGCATCCCGCCTCCTGACCCTGGGCAGACGGCCCCAGGCCAGGCCTCAGGCGAGACGGCGCCGGCCGCCGCGTGCGCCGGCGTCCCGCCCCTGGCCTCGCGCCCTGTCTGGTCTGCAGGGGGCCGAGGCAGCGGCCACGCCCGTCCGGCGCCCGCGGGCACACAGGCAGCATCGCGGGCCGCGGCGCCACCGGCTACCTTCTCAGGTGCGGGCCAGGCGGGAACCCGAGCCCGCCTGGGAGCCCTCGAGCTCCAACAGCTCAGCCAGAAGGGCGGACTTTGCGCCGTCAGGATCGAATAGCCGTGAGGGGAGGTCGGCACAGTTGAGCTCACTGGGTATCCAACGAACCGAACAACGAATATTTCGGCTCAGACAGACAGCGTGAGATCGACGAATCTGGACCAACAAGTTGAAACAGGAGCTCCTCCCTCGATTGAAGCTTAGCACGACCGACATATTGTCACAGAGCAGCAACTGACGTATGTGGGACCCAAACACCGTGGTGGCGATGCGATGTATGCTGCTGACCAGGGCTCGGGCCTCTAAGGTCAGGATGCCCTCAGGGTGCTGCCAGGCTCTTGCGAAGCAGGGCTCCCGCAGACCTGCGCGGAGCCCCCGGGCGGGCACCTCCGGGAAGTCCCTCACTACGTCCCACTGGCCCAGCTCCTCCTCATCTTCAGGAAGGCCCTTGAGTTCCCATTTTCCACTCTCGCTCATGCTGAAACCAGCTGCACAGAGCGCAGCCTCGCGGGCACTGTGCGCGCAGCGCCGGCGGAAGCGGGCTCGCTCAGGCACGCGCCCGACTGACTCCACCAGCTCCCGCGGCCAAAAGGCCCTTGCCAGTCCGTAGCCGTGAAGACTGGCATCTGACTGCTGCACCAAGGGATTCCAAGGTAGCCACCAATCTGATTCCAGGAAGTACATCAAAGAGCTGAAGGCCGTCAGCTCCTGCCGCGCCTCAGTCCATAGCACGGCCGCCTCGTCGTAGTGGGCTCGCACGAAGCCGTAGACTGAATTGAAGGCTGACAAGGTGCCGCGCGAGCAGAGGCCACAAAAGGTTAGGTGGCCCAGCACTGCTTCCACGGCCCACCCCTTGACACGGCGGCGGGCTAGGAGGCCTCGCACGGCCTGGCGGCAGCGCCAGAACCGATCACTGGTCACGCGAGTGCGCAATTGGCCCCCGTCGATCTCCGTGCCCAGCGCTACTGCCTTGTCCGGCACCAGCTCGTCTTTGTGCAGCAGTAGGCTCAGCTTGGTGAACTCGCCTGTCAGCTGGTTCATCACGCCGCTCACGAGTTCAGAGAAGAGCGAGAAGACCCCCAAGTTATCAACATACACGTAGTGCCTGACTTCCTGGGACGCTCTGCCCGGCGCGAACACGAGCGGAGGCCCATGGTCTGAGAGACCGGGCCCCCGAAGGAGCGCGCTGCTGCGGCGGCTCACCTCCTCGTTGGCCCGCTGGGCGAAGTAGAGGGACCAGCTGAAGCCCGTGGGCAGCACCTGCCAGCAAGGGTAGATGGCCGTCGACGTCTGCACCTTGGTCCCCTCGACCTCGGTCACGCCGAAAGCCCCAGCCATGACCGGCGGCAGGCAGAAGTACTGCGAGAGGGCCGAATCAATACGCATCCTATGAAAGCAGTCCTTCACGTCCGCCATGCCGATGTACACCTGCTGCGCCTCCAGCGCGGCGCGGAGGTCCTCGTAATTCGAGAAGCCCGCGTCTGGCACGTGCACCTCGATTCTGGCAAGGCCCTCGCTGCTCAAAAGCTCCACCCCAGGAGGGTCCTTGAAGTGGGCGTTCGTACGGCGGGCGTCGACTATGAGGCGAAGTCGGCTCCGCCCATCCTTCCACACAAAAAACATCCCAATTCTCTCTTTCGGTGTTAGTCCATCCCAGAATGCCAGCCGATAGCAGCCGGCGCACCAGGCCGCGGTACTCCTTGTGGTTGAACTTGAGGACCGAGTCGAAGTACGGCTCGACGTCAGTCGGCAAGGGTGACTCTCGCAACATGCGCTCATGGCGCTCCTGCAGGAAAGTAAGGGCCTCGCCAGGCAAGAGGTCCTCTAGACGCGGGCAGTCGCTCACGTCCATCGGCATGCTGACGAGCCCTGCACTGTAGGAGGCGACCGTCGTCGGGCCACTGCGCCCGTCGCATGGCGAAAGAAAAAAACGAAGAAAAAAGAAAAAAAAAAAAAACAAACAAACAAAAAAAAAAAAGAAAAAAAAAAAACGAAAAAAAAAGAACAAAAAAAAAGAAAAAAAAAAAAAGAAAAAAAAAAGAAAACAGAAAAAAACAAAAACCAGAAAAGAAAAAAAAACAACAAAAAAAGATTAGAACAAAAAAAAAGAAAAAAAAAAAAAAAACAAAAGAACAAAAAACAAAAACAAAAAGAAAAAAAAAAAACAAATAACAAAGCGGCCCCGCAGCAGCTCCCGGAGGGCCGCCTGCGGATCCTGCAACTTGGCGTCCGGCTGCCGGCCCCGAACGAGGCCCTCGAAGCGCGCAAGTACATCCCGCTGCATGTCATTGGCTGGGCCAGGAAGCGAGTCGTACCCCGACGTCCAGTTAACGGCATCGACGATACCGTTGACCTCCGCCGCAATCCGACTCTCTCGGCCGAACTGCCTCGCCCTGCAAGACCTGCCGCGAATTCGGCGGCCAGCGTCGCCCAGCAGCGGGGGCGGCAGGAAGCTGCGGGCTCCACGCGAGGGCGGCAGGCGGCCGCCGTCGTGCCCCGGCAAAAAGGGCTCGGGGGAGGGGCTGGTCCCCCCGGGCCCGGGGGCCGTCATGGCCCCGCGGAGGCGACGCCCCTGGCCCGGCCGCGCCCGCGGCCGCCTCGGCCGCCACCACGCCCCGCACCTGCTGCGTCGCCTCCAGCTCCTTCTGCTCCGCCGACGGTCCTAGTAGGCACCCCGCGTAGCGTACCTGCCCGATTCTGCGCCTGCTCCACCTCGTACGTCTTCTGCGCCCCCTGGTGGATGTAGCCCCTGAGCTCTGACCCCGAGACGTCCTTCTCCGAGCTCACGTCCGCGAAGATGTCCGCGTTCGTCCAGCTCGGCTTGAGCAGGTCTCCGTAGGCCTCCCGCGTGGCGGACCCGCGGTGAGTCATCTTCCCCACCATCATCAGGCCGCTCATGTTCAGCTGGACACGTAATAAGCCCTGGTACCAGGCCTCCACGATCGTCCTCAGCTTCTGCACCACCCAGTCATTCTCCCCACGGCCCCTCACGCATACGGTGAGGTCGGGCTCGAGCCGCAGGTCGCCTCCGTGCCTCACCATGTGCTCGCGCATGTGGAGAGCCCCCGGCGGTCTGCCCACCCGTGCGTCTGGGCGGCGCCCCTGCCTCGACTCGCCTACCACGTCTCGCCATCGTCTGTCCCGTCCGCCCTGCTCGTCGTAGAAGACCCAGAGCGTGCGGGCGAGGGCGTCACGTTGCTCGCCCTGCGGCCCCGCCAGCAGCGGCTGCGCCAGCTCTGGCATAGCTGGGCCGCGTGGGGGCCCGGCGGGCTCCTCATCCTCGAGCGGCGCCGCGGCCGCAGTGCGTCGGCGCTCGGGGCCCTTGGCACGCGCCTGGCTCCTGCTTGGGCCATGCCTGAAAGCCTCCTCCTCTGCCAGGCGCCCAGCGTCCGACCCCGCGTCCAGCCGGCCGAGTCGCCCCGTGCCACCGTCGGCGGACCTCAACACACCGAACGCCTCAGGCCCGTCCTCGAAGCTCAGGCCTCCAGTCTTCGCCACGTCGACCTCCGCCCCGATCTCATCGTCGGGCACGCCACTGCGGCCGACCCAGGCGTCACCCCCAGCAGGAGCCTTCAGCGGCGCCCCCGCCCGGCGAGCCACGGCCATGCTCGGGTACAGCAGGCCCCTCCGCTCCGCGGCCAGCCGCCTACCAGCGTCCTCCTGCCACGAGACCCGCTGGCCGCTCACGGCCCCGGCCTCCCTCGGCTCAGGCGACGCCGCTTCTTCCTCCAGCGCCGCCTGACGGCCCCGCGTCAACGTCTTGGCCCGATTCTCAGGCCCCAGCGCCTCCTCGAAGCGATACAGCCTCCGCATCCTGCCCATCCGCTGCGCCAGCGGGATGGGTCGGGCAGGCCAGGTCTCGGCCCTGCCGCAGCTCATGTCCTCCACGTAGATGTCAACCTCTGGGGACAGGATGACCCGTCCGCCCTCTGCCACGTAGTGCAGCTGCACCCATACGTCATCGACGTCGTCGCCGGCGAATCGGCAGACCCCAGGCTCCACTGAGAGCGCTCTAGTCCACCACCTCCGCCCCACGACGCTGAGGAGCCACCACACGAGCGTCGTCATGCCTGCGACCAGGAACTCCCACCAGCCAGTGCACCAGGCCTCCGGGCAGCACCCCAGTGGGCCTCCCAGCCGCCCTCTCGCCCGGCGTCGCCGCCGGCCGCCTCGCAGGCCGGGCGGGTCGCACCCGGCGGCGGCTCGCAGGCCGGGCAAGCCGCGCGGGGAGGCGGCTCGCAAGCCGGGCAGGCCGCGGCCTCTGGGCCAGCCGCCGCCTCTGGACACGCAGGACAGGCCGGGCACGAGGGTCAGGGCAGGCCGCCCGCGTCGGGCCCTCCTCTGCTCCAACGTAGGCCGCGGCCTCCAGCGCCACTACCACCCAGGCCAGCGGCGCGGCCGCCCCTCAGGGATGGCGCCCATCCATCGACTCTGGACCAGAGAAGCTAGGCGATGCAAGAAGGAGCGGAGCCAAAGGGGCGACATAATGAAAACCCCTCTTGACTTCCTTCACGTGCAAGCACAAACCATGGCCTTCTCGCCTTTTCGGCTTTCCGACACTCCAAGACGGCCCAAGAGGCCCCCAAGAGGCCCCCAAGAGCGCCCCAAGAGGCCTACAAGAGGGCCCCAAGACGGCCCAAGAAGGCCCCAGGACAGCCTAAGAGGCGCCCAAAACGGCCCAATAGGGCCCCAAGACGGGCCCAAGAAACGGCCAAGAGGGGAACGAGGAACCGAGAATTCGAGACTTCCGCCCTAAGAGGCCCCCGGGAAGCCCCAAGAGGCCCCCAAAAGGCCCCAAGAGGCCCCCGAGCGGCGCCAAGACGCCCCCAAGATGCGCCGAATACGGCCTCCGGAAGCCCCAAGAGGCCCAAAAGAGGCCCCAAGAGGCCCCACAACGGCCCCCAAGAGGCTTCAAGTTGCCTTCCAGACGCCCCCGAGAGGTCAACCACGAGATCCCAACCAACATCCATAAGGCCTCCTCCTCCTCCCCCTTCACCCTTCCTCCTCCTACTCCCTTCCGCCTCCTCCTCCTCCTGCCCCCCCCCTCGTGTTGTCTTTCGTCATCTTCAGGGTCGGCGGCAACGGCCGTAAGGCCTTCGCAATAAAAAGAAACATGCAATGGGAGCCGCCCGGGAGCCGCTTCACTCGAAAAATACAGAAAGGAGAACGGGCCAGTTGACCTTTCTCTTCGGTCTTGCCCCCTCCCCCGTCACCTGGCTCTGCGTGAAGCCAGGCAGCTGCGTGAAGCCTTGCAGCTGCGTTCCAGACGTCAGCGAGTTGCGACGCAAGCTCGTCAGATCCGACGGCGCATGCGATGCCGAGCTGGTCGGGGCTCTTTTGGAACTCTTTGGGACTTCTTGGGGAACTCGTAAAGCCTCCTGGGGGTCTCCTGCGGCGAAGATCTCGGGTTCTCGGTTCACGTCCCCGATCCTGGGCCGCGGTCGGGGCCCCCCCGGGCCGTCTTGGACGTCTCCTCGGCGCATTGGGCCGTCTTGGGGTGCTTTGAAGCCTTTTGTTCGGTTCCCGTTTCGGGGGTTCGTCCGGTAGAAGATCTGAAGTTCGTTCTGGAGTTCATGGGTTTCCTGTAGTTTCCGTCTTGTGGCGATCCTCGGAGCCTCACGGAGCGTTTTCCAGCGTCGGGAGGCGGAACATGCGGAAACGCCAAATTTGTTCAAGAACCTATGGAACATACATGTGTGTGTGTGTGTGTGTGTTGGCGTCTTCGAGCTCTATTGGGAGACCTCTTGGAAGCCTCTTGGGTATCTTGGGGGCCTCTTGGGCCGTCTGGAGGCCGACTTGGGGCCTCTTGGAGCCTCTTTTGGGCTTCTTGGGGGCCTCTTGCGGCCTCTTGGGGGCCTCTTGGGGCTTCCTGGGGGCTTCCTGGGGGCCTCTTGGGGCATCTTGGCAGCATCTTGGGGGCCTCTGAGGCCGTCTTTGTGCCATCGTCGCCCCTCGTGGAGCGCTCTTGGGCCATTGCGACTGTAGCAGCAGAAGGACAGGAGATATTTTCCGCTTGAGCCAAAATGCGAACAACAGCACACAAAGACCACAATCCCTGGGCTGAACCCATCGTTGAAAACCAGGAGATCTCGCACAATGTGCATGTGCACGGATATCGGCGTTTCGACATTGGGCAGAACGGGGGGGGGAGGGTCGGGAGGGGTCTGGCTCCAGACCTCGGCTGGTGAGCGTTTTCTTATTCGGCGTTTCAACATTGGGCGGAAGGAGGGCAGTGAGTCCCAGGGGGGAGGCCCGACCCTGTCGCAACAGGCGCCCAAAAACGGCCAGCCAAGATCCACTCAGTGAATCTACTCCATGAGGACTCCATGGGGGGGCGGGGCGCGAGGGCCCGCGCCGATCGGCAGAGCAAGCAAGCAAGAGACTGCGTGCACAAAAACGGCACCACAACGACAGCGACAGATGATCTCTCGTGTGCGGTGCAAATCGGAGGAGCTCATACCTTGGTTTAGTCCAGGTTTGCGCGATCCCCCTAACCCTCCGCACATTCACTAAATGACGACAGATAGGCAGTGTCCTCGTCAGGCCTCAAGCAAACGCGAAAAAAACACGGGCACCGACACATACTCCACCTGCTCCCCGGCGGGGAATTGGAGGAGGGGTGGGAAGAGGAGAGAAGGGGTAAGACTCCGTGCACACAGCGATTCAGCGATTCGCACGCTGCCAAAATTAGCAGCGGCCGTCAGGGCGCGAGATGACTCGACGCACGGCATGCGCGCGCCTGACGGCACTCCTTCGATGCCAAGGCGCCCAGCGCCCTTCTCGGCGCTTCTCGGCGAGAGAGGCGAGGGCCTCAGGCGTCCGCCTTTCTTGCAGCAGCGCTCTGCTGCAATCTTCAGAGAGCTCCTTCTTCGGCTGCGGCGGCCACAGACTGTAGGCGGTGAAGGCCGCCATGTTCCCCGACACGCCCGCGCACATCAGGTACTTCCAGCCTACCAGCGGTGGCCTCCAGACTTCCAGATACCCATGAGCAGGACCAGGGCGATGGCCGCCACCTTTTGAAGTTTGCGGCAAACGACGCGAAGAACGGTGAGAGGCCCCTGACAATGTTGTACAGCAGGAGGTTGTAGCCGAGGGCCCAGATGCCGGACAGTATCACCAGCACCACAGTGCCAGGGCTCAGCTGGGCGATCTCCACGAGCACGCTGAAATTCGTGGCCATCTCGTGCACAGGATAAGACACGGAGTGCTTGATCAACCAGATGGGCAACAACAGAAGCACGACGATTGGAATGGCCATGTAAATGAGCGTGTCGATAGAGTTCAGCTTGAACCCCTTGCCAAGAATCACCACTACGATGAGCTCCAGGGAGGAGAACAGGAGCGAGCCGATGCACAGGCAAAGACCCAGCGTGTCGCTGCCGCCGCCGCCGTCGTTGATCTGGGCCGCCGTCCTCTTCCAGGCGCTCTTGGAGATGACCACCAGCGCCGCGCAGATGACGCCGAGTAGCACCATGCCCACCTTCGCAGGAAAGCACAGCTGCAGGAGGAGAGACATCAGCGGGCTCGTGGAGCGGACCAGAACGTTAACGGACACGTCCAGGAGCGAGAGGCTGAAGTTGTTGAGGGCTATGTTCAGGGTGAAACACACTGCGAGGGCCATCACCGCGAAGGCCTGGTCCTTGCTGACGATGGTGTGCGGCCTGTAGGCCCACGGCGTCAGCTGGGACACGAGGATCGCCAGCGCGAGGAAAAGGAAGCCCACGAGCTGCTGCATGGCCGTCAGCACTAGAAGCGCCTGGAAGCTCCGCATGTTGAGCTCCTGGTAGAGGAAAGAGAACTATGCACATACACCGATTCTGGCCAGGCCCATCCTGAGCCCAGGATCGGTGCATACGCCCTCCTACCTTGGCCAGGAATGTATATGCACCGATCTTGGATCAAGGATGGGCCTTCCCAGGATCGGTGCATGTGCATAGTTCTCTTCGCCCGATCCTGGGAGACCGTGTGGATGGACAGGATCGCCTTCATGTACGACAAGTTCATGAAGTTCTGGGCCCCGACGAACAGGAGCAGCTGCGCCAGGGTCTGGCATCTGGGCAAAATGACGAAGACGCCGCCGCCGAGCACCAGCGCCAACCAAGACACCCCGAGCTGCGTGCACAGATCCGCGGTTCCTATGCAGGCCGGCTCCTCGATCGCGGTGGTGCCAAAAAGCATTCCTCCGCTCTCCAGCACCTCGACGCTCACGTGCACCTTCGAACCATCGCCCACTATGAGGCGCCTGGTCTCTGGGCCTCCGGAGATGCCCGCCCTCCCCTTTGGGTCCATGACGGCAGAGCTGCCTGCCACGGCGAGCAGCCAGCAGCAGCGCGCGGCCGACATGGCTACTAAAACTCAAGGATGCAACATGGGACTCAACTTCGAATACTGTCGGCGGATGTGAGGCGCTGGTGTCAACCTTGAGCCAAAATGGCTACGGCGTTCAGGGCCCTCTCGGGCCGTCTTGGACGTCTCTGCGGCGCTTTTGAAGCCTATTGGGCCGTCTTGGGGCGATCCTCGGAGCCGCACGGAGCGTTCTGCAGCGTCGGGAAGCGGAACAGGCGGAAACGTCAAAATTGTTCAAAAACCCGTGGAACATACATGTGTTTGGGCATCTTCGAGCTCTGTTGGGAGACCTCTTGGAAGCCTCTTGGGCATCTTGGGGGCCTCTTGGGCCGTCTGGAGACCGTCTTGGGGCCTCTTGGAGCCTTTTGGGGGCTTCTTGGGAGCCTATTGGGGCCTCTTGGGGGCCTTCCTGGGGGCCTCTTGGGGGCATCTTGGGGCGGAGAGCTTGATTGTTCAGTTCGCGCTCCCTCCCTTGGGCCCCTCTTGGGGCCTTCGTGGGACCCTCTTGCGCAGTTTTGGGCGACTCTGGGGCCGTCTCGGGTCTCTCTTGGGCCGTCTCGGGGCCCTCTTGGGCGCCTCTTTGGCCGTCTTCGAGCGGTTTTAGGAGCCCTTTGGGCGGTGCCTTAGTGCGGGAAACACGAAACAGCGAGAATGCAAAAAACATGACAAAACAAACCAATGAAAATCAACGAGTTTGCCCTCTCGGAGCGCTGTTGGGTGGCATCTTTACGTCGTCATCATCATCATCATCATCATCATCA